GCTCTCTTCCACCAAACTTGCAAATTTACAGAAAATACACCCAGGGATTATTAGTAATTCCTTCTTACAGAAATTGCTGAAAATTGACTATTTTTTGTAGGAACAACATTTGCTGTTACTTGATCTGCATTTTCTGGGAAGTAACGTCCACTGCAACTTTTCAAAAATTGGACTTGTGTGAAAATGGGTTTAGATTTGTATTTGCTAATGGAAAGGACAATCTTGTTTTGGTGTACGAACGGAGTATTTTCTGTATCTTAAACAAGTTTTTGTATACAGAAACCTATGCATAGATAATAATAGTGAAGAACTGAAGTGCATTTTCCTGTGTTCACCTAGTTATATGTGTTTGACTCTTTGAAGTAGTGCCTCATCTGTCAAACCACAGTGGATAAAAATCAGTGAGTTCAAAAAAACAGAATGATTTAAATCATAATTTAAATTACAATTTAATTTTTTTAAAACACAGTTATTTTATTTAAACCATCAAAAAATCATTTTTTAAAAAATTTAAATTGTGATTTAAATAAATTTGATTTAAAGCCAATCCACCCTACCTCAAACTGTGGTTTGTGTCTGTCTTTTGATTCCTGCAGTTCAGAATCGTCTTCATGGCTTGTTTCCTTCTTGAGCTTGCTTTGGTTCTTCTCTGCATTCGCAGATTGGAGACCCCCTTTTTAGAAGACTAGAACGGGCCGGCCTTCAACAAGCTGCTGGTTACTGTACCCAAAGCGGATGTCACCATCTCTTGGCTTGCCATTCCTAGATAAGGCAGGACTGGTAAACCAGCTTCTGACCCTGGCTTAAATGTTGGTTTGTTAGGGGAATAACAAGCCAGGAATCTCGGTATGGATGCAACACTTCCTGATAGGTCCCTGCTTATTGAACTGCTTCATCTGGAAGATGAAGAGAAAGCAGGGTTTGTGTTTGTCTTTTGATAGGGCAAGCATCCATTAGCATGCTTTCTTCTGAATGATGTGCTAAGATGTTCCAGGATTCTGCCTTATAATTTGGTGTTAATGTGGCTAATGAGTTTACATATCTTTGTACAGGGTCCTGCCTCTGCTGTTTCCAATTTATGGAAAAACAGCTGCAGATTTCAGGATTACCTATGTGTAAGCGAAGCCTCAAACTGACCATGTCATCTGGCCTTACAGATCTCAGAGAAGAGGGAGGGAAATAAATTTCTTTGTTCATGAGATCTTGTAAAGCTGCTGGCAAGGCAAAGAGTTTATACGTATAAAGCAGATTCAGAAATTCGTCCCAATCTGCGGTTTTGGGAATTCTGCTTCAGAGAGGGAAGTGAAACTCTTTCATAATTTCTCTAAATCCCATCTGCATTTTTTCCTGACTTCATTCTTTATTGGATTGTAAGAGTTGGTGACTCTTTTTTCATGCAGAAATTTGAACATGTTTTGGTATCCACTGTATCCTGTATTTTTGTACAGTATGCATCTTTCCCATTGACTGAAGCTTGTATGTCTGCATTTTTCAGAGCTAAATATTTGAATTGTGCACATTGGTGTTTAAGGGCAAAGTAAAATAACAGAATTTGCAGCTGGTAGTTTTTTCTGTCTCCAGGGATCTAAACCTGAGAGAGATCTGCACATTTTTGTTAATAGCCCAGCTGCTCACAAATTGGATAAATTTGTAGGGCTTTTAAAATTACTTAACATGGATTTCTTTTCCATCTCTAGCTAGTAACGTTAACATCACTATCTGTTAAATTTGCAGATTCACTGTTTACAAGATGATTGATAGGTTGGTATCTCTTAGAGTTTGATAAAATTATGTTTTGGCTTTTTCAACTACAGCTGATATTGACACTTTATAAAGGAAAACAGGCTAACAGAAAGATTACAACTCTAGATACTTTTTAAAGTCTGATGGAAATGATCATATCATCCTCTTGGAATTGCAGAGCTGGGAGGGACTTTATGGGTCATCACGTCCAGCTCCTGTCAAGGAGCCCTAGTGGGGGAATCAAACTCCCAACTTCTGGCTCCGGAGACCTAAACCACTGAGCTATCTATCTAGCAGTTCTAATGCTGGGTACAGTGGTGCCCCGCATAGCGACGATAATCTGTTCCGGATAAATTGTCGCTATCCAGAAACGTCACTATATGGGGCAAAAAACACCATAACCCTGTTTAATGCGTTCCTATGGGGACAAAACTCACTATTATGCGAAGATTCCCCATACGGCCGCCATATTCGCCGCCTCAGTAAGTGAGGGCAGGGTGCGAAAACGCTGCCGGCAGCCATTTTCTTGATCCGGCGGCCATTTTGGAACCACCGATCAGCTGTTCCCAAAACATCGCAATGCGAAGATCGGTAAGCAAAACGCTTACCGATCATCGCAATGCGATGTTTATCCTATGTAAACATCGCAAAAAACGCGCCACTATGCGGATTCGTCGTTAAACGATGCACTCGTTATGCGGGGCACCACTGTATATATGCCTTTCAAATTTCAGTTCCAGAGAAAATGTTCATTGGGAGCATAACTGGAACACTGGTGATGCCGCCATTGGTGATGGCTAGAGATTAATGGTTGCAAGGTGTGTGTCGTATCAGTATTCTCAGGTGAGGTTTTATGAAAAAGTGCAGAGGAACATGGACCCTCTTGAGGAGAAAGGCTTTAAATTGCAAAATACTTTAAATTAGTAATAAATACAGTAATAGGAATGTAATTTCATTGTGGTTTTGCCAGTTTAACATCTGTATCTCATGCAGAGTATTTAGATTTAAATTTTTTTGTAAACGTAGCTTGTGGATGCTGTATATTGCTTTGATCAAGCATTAAAACTTCTTCAAAGTAGATTTTTCAGCAAGATTTCATTCCACTCTTGGTTTGCTCTCAGCCCAACTGACTGGTAAATGACGCATGAGGGAAATGATTGGTCTGTGACCTTTTGAAGAATTCATGGGTGCCGCCTGAAACAAAGCGCCTAGTGTTCATGGAGCCCGGGTTAATGTCTTGGGCTTGTGGAGTCATTTCAAGCCTTATCTGCGCTACTGATGGGGCCTTGAAACTGGAATTTTTAAGTTTTAGCTCCCTTTGATTGTGGTCTCTGTTCCCATTTCTGAATAAATGTGGTCAAAACACTTCCCTGTAGGACCGTGTCCCTGACATGAGAGAAAAAGAGTCCAAGGGATTGCAGACTGATCTTTGAAGATGTTTTATTCCTATCTCAAGACATGGTTATGAGCCATGTGCTTTCTAGATAGATGGATCTTCAACTTCCTGAAGACCCTAGCCAGCTTGTCAGACATTTAGGAAATTCTAGCGGAAAAAGTTTGAGGACAGGGTTTAGATAAGTTACCTTTTTGATTGTGCAGTCCGAATCCACTGAATTCTGTGGCCAGCATGTGATTATCTGGCCAACGGTTATGGTGGCTGAGAGATTCTGTTGTCTGAAATGATATAGTTTTAAGTTCTGCCCCATGCTAAGCTCATACTAAAACCTCTTATTTTTTCCTCCTTAAATCATAGGTTTATACTTGTTTTCTTTCAAAACCATAGTTTAACATTAACTGTTATTTGCTGGTTGGCACTGCAGTTAAGTGAACGCTACTGAATCATACTGGAGAAGGAATGGAGTGTGAACTTTGCTCCGCCTTACTCTCGTCATGTAAAAACTATCCGTTCTCAACTTTGCCATGGCCATAAACGCAATATGAAAGAAATGTAGGGCGAATCACATTTGTATAAGCTGCAGAACGAATCTTATAAGGTGTTGTGCGAATAATTGTTTCCGGTCTGTGGCCCCCTTCAAATGTGCCAGGGGACCATATGATGCCCCCCATAAGAATAGATTGTGCCAGGGGACCCCAAGGGGCCATATGATGCCCCCCATGAGAATAGATGTAAATGATGTTGTGCTAAGACTGTGCTATGAATACTTGTTAGTTGAGAATACATAGCGTGGTCTCTGGTGTCCCCTATTGGCCAGTTCTGATAATGCATGTGAAAAATATTTTTTCTTGGTTTCCCTCCTTTTGCCATGATATAGCTAGGTACTGTATCTGTATCGATCTATTTTGCTATTATCTGTAGTTTTCTGTATCTGTTGGGGGCTTAGAATCAATCCCCCGCGGATATGGGGGTCCTACTGTATTTTCTTGAGACAGCTTTTGAAGAATAGTATCTAAAGGAGCAGGGCTGGACTGTGCTTTCATGTCCTTTCCAGCTGTTCCTCCTTTGAGAACAAGATGCTCGACTTGATGGACTCCGGTTCTGATACCATAGGCTTCAATAAACAGACCACAGCAGTATCCTCCTAATCGTTGATACATGATTTCATGCTGCACTTTTAAAACTGATAACCAAACATAGCACTCCTTTTGTGGCCTGTACTCCCAAAACAGATAAATACGTTTGGAAGCCTGTTCTAGAGAAAGCGTTTTTTAATGCACCTTTAGGGTGCCCTACCCGGTTTATTCCCATAATAACCTCAAATGATGGTACACAGGTCGTCTTGTCCTTCAGAATTTATTTGGCATCAGCAAGGAGAAAGCATTGGGACCGGTTTCTCTAAAGAAAAACTCCATTCGTTTTTCATACGTTGGGATTCTGCGAGGTGGGTTTTTCTAAACCAGCTACATGCATTTCAGGTTGTGTTGCTCTGTGTGGAGTCCTGCTTTCTATAGCCAAGTGAAACTATCCTCTGTAAAGGGTGCCTCTGAAATCTGAATCTCATTTCTTCTTCATTTTAGTGGCACTTGTTTCAACCTGCTTAATGCAGAGTTGCCTCTTTTCTTGAAGAAATGCATGCAAAATACGCTTTTAATTGCTCGAAATAGGCTTATAGATTATGAGTTAATTTAACTTTCTGCAGCTTTTGTTATAAATACAGCAGAGTGGATGAAATTTCATATCGATATAATGGCGTCCCATGAGGATTGCTAGGCAAATTCTTATTCCTCCCTGCTGTAAATGATGGAAGAACAGTAAGATTCCTTTTTCTTTCCTTCCGCCCTCCAAAAATATAGCAGGTATGCAGGTAGAGGAGAAGATTTTTTTTTTCTTTTGGGCAACGTAAAATGAGTTTACAACCTGAGAAATCATTTAAGCATATTTCCTATTCTTCCTGTGGTAAGCTCAGAGCAGCTTAAATAAGGTCCCCAAGTGGTCTCCCAACCAGACAGCTGAGAAGACCAGATGTTCTCAGTATCCACAGTGTGTTTTCAATCCAGTTTTGAAGAAGACGGGAGGAAAAGCAGACACAATATGGCTGAAAAATTAGAGCAACATCTTGTTTTTGCAAGTTTCAGATCAAGACGGGTCTCGTCTTGGGTTTGAAAAGGTTGTCTATATCTTACCATGAGTTAGGTTAAGTTTTAGTTATATAGGAAGCTGAGTCAAACTGTGTGGTCCAATACGGTCAGCTCTGACCAACAGCAGCCAAATACCGATGGTCTCCCAAGATTCTTTTCTAGCCTGATACATTTGTGTATTAAAAATACAACTGGAGAATTGCAAAGCAGTAGGAATCGAACTCCCCACCTCTGACTTCGCAGCCAGAGAGCCTATCCGTGGAGCTATCCAGCAATTCTTCCTTTCAGGCATCCCATCAGACTCAATACCTGCTTAGGTTTTGCAGTGAGATGAGAGCAAAAGCGTTCCAGGTGGTCAGATATTTCTAGTCTGACTGGTCGTGGGTCTCTCAGATCTTGGAAGCAGGCTTGAAATGTGAACTTCAGGCAAGCGTTGAGTCTGGAACATTTATAGGGCCACAGATAGAGCTGGTTTTGATACACAGCACAAGCCTGGCTAACTCTCGGGAAGTGCCAAAGTAGTTCAGCATTTTAACAAAATAATCTAGAAAACCTCTTTTGGTGCAAAATTCATTTTAAATTTTAATAATTCTATTTTTGGGTGGGGTTGTATTATGCTTTCAAAGCTTGATGACGATGATGAGTGTTTGTAGTCCAGAAACACTAACATGGTTTTGTCTTTTAAATTTTAGCGAGAAGAATGTGAATGGGTTGAACAGGGTTAACTTGTCAATGGTTGGTTTGCTACAAGGGATGCGTAAGAAAAGGTTAAAAATCAGTACCGCAGACAGTATACAACTGTGAGCTTTGTCGTCCAAACACAACTAACCAATCTTTCTTGTATTGCAGCTTCCTATTAAAGTCAGCCAGCAAAATACCCACACCAAAGTCAGCACGGAACATAACAAGGAGTGCCTGATAAACATTTCCAAATACAAGTTCTCCCTGGTCATCAGCGGCCTCACCAATATCTTAAAAAATGTTAATAATATGGTAAGTCATATTTACTCGCCATTTCAGCCTTGAGATGGAAGGAGAGGAGAGGAGGGGTAAAAAAAAACCTCTTAAGGAAATGTACTGGCTGCTCCTGCTTTTAGTGTTTACAATCGCAGTGGCTGTTTTGAGAGCTCAGTTAAAACTTGGGTGTGCTTGTTTCTCATGTAGTACGGTAGGACTCTCCTATCTGCAGGATCAGTATTCACTGATTCACTTATCTGCTGCCTAAAAATATGAAATAAAAAACAACAGAACGGACCACTAGGGGGAGCTAGAGACAATATATAGTGTTTGTTCCGTCTGCATTTTTCAGCATCTGTAACAGGGAAGTACTTGGAACTGATCCCCCATGGATACTGTGGTCCTACTGTACCATCAGGTTCCTGTTAAGCTGCGTGCACATGCTGTGGCCCAGAACTCCATCTAGGTTGCGCATGGACAGCTGTTTTTTTTTACTTCCTGTTTTGAATGAAGACCCACCTACCCACCCCTGTGCACATGGAGTGAGGCTCCTGTGCAGCGGGACAGAAGCGTAGAGGGAACGCTGTGCGTGCCATGTTTTAAAAATGTCTACTTCCTATCGGTGATGCCGATTTTTCTCAAAACGAGAAGAAATTTGTCCTGTCTTTCCATCCAACCAATACAGGTCTCTGGTCTCCACCTTCCACCGAAGAGCAGACATTCTCTCCCTTTTTTTCCCCTGTCCCTGGTTTTTTGGGGGGACTGTCCCAAATCCCCATGTTTTTTTCCCCCAAGGAAGTCTAAAGGGTGTGTTATGAAGTGTATCTTTTCCAAGTTTTCAGGGTAGGACCAGTTATATCCTCTGATTTTGTTTGTCTCCTAGAGGATATTTGGAGAAGCTGCAGAAAAGAACTTGTATATCTCTCAGCTGATTATTTTGGATACTCTGGAAAAATGTCTCGCTGGGGTGAGTAGGCCGTTTGGTAAGCCATTTTTATTTCTGGCCTGGGATGGTGGTTATGTGTCACTTGCATAAATAAATTAGTTCCCCCTGGCCATGCTCAGAAAAGCCTTCCAGGGGGCCACAGCACCCTCCCCTTTGATACCTCCATGCACTCGATACATCACAGAGAATGCCACCAGAGCAGGCAGTCAAGTGGGCTAGTCACTTTTTCAGTGTACAGTGGTGTCCCGCTTAACGATTATCCCGTATAATGTCGAATCCGCTTCACGACAATGTTTTTGCGATCGCAAAACGATGTTTGAATGGGGTTTTTTCGCTGCCTAAAAATACGAGGCACCACTGTACTTACAAGGCAACAAATCGTACTTTGGAGAAATACGCTTTTGCTGAATTATGTGAGGCTTTTTGGCCCCTTGCTGCAGTTGTTTTATGACTAAGACCTTTTCAGAGATCTCAAGTACAGGAAGAGGAAATCCAGTTACCCATAAAAAGCAAGTCTTTCCAATGGTAGTAATGTTCCAATCTAAGGAATGTATCCGAGCGGGTTTACCTGGCAACACAAGTGGGGAAAAAAAAGCTTACTTTCTCTAATTGTGGCTTAACCGGCACAAGAAATAACAGCTTTATGGTTTGTAGTTAACTTTAAAAAGGAAAAACCTTAACGTCTTAAAGTCAACTTGGGGGGTCTCCTTTGACTTTGTGGGGTTTTTTGGTTCAGTTGCATGCAAAGATAATGAAGCTTCCTCTCCGGCTGCTAAGTACTGGATTTGCAGGTGTTTCCTGATTTATATTAGCTAACTTTGTCTAAACTTCCAAAGGGAGTGTAGTCCTGTGGTTTCCAGAAAACAAATTCCCATTTTCACTTAACTCTCACCTTGGAGGCTGTCCGTTTCTTCCTCCTTTTTACTGCCTTGGGAATCCATTTGGGGGTTCAGCTTCTTCCGTGAAGCTATACGGCTGTAAAACCAAACCTGAACTTTGGTGAAATGCTAGAGTCTGCGCTTATTCCCAATTGTTTTTTTCCCCATCTTTTCTTTTTTTCTTTTAGCGTAGTTCCAGCCTTAGTGTAGTGAGATCATTTTAAAGCTGCTCGCGATCTCCCCATACTGGTTTTGAATGATTACTTTCCAAGTTGCGGCAGACAAGAACGGTTTATGAGTTGTCGCTTGACACCTGTATAAACATACTTAAAAGCAATCTGTAAATGTAGTCGGGAGAGTTTCTCCTCTGAGTGACAGAGTTGAGGGATCCAGTGCATGTGCCTTTCCTGTCCTGGCGCTTCAGCCCGGGGTCTTCCCCATGGACTGCGAAAGCTGCTAGGAAGCTTGAATTATATTTAATGCCATTTCCTTTTCGGACAGCTATAAAAGCGTAGAAATAATTTAGATAGGAGAAACCAATGGGAAACATTGAGCTTCATGAAACCCTGGATTCAGAAACAAAGCTTAATCTGATACTCTCGTATTGTACGATGAGAGCATCTGGATTTTGTTTCCAGCTACAGTGGTGCCCCGCATAGCGACGTTAATCCGTTCCAGGAAAAACGTCGCTATCCGGAAACGTCGCTATGCGGGGGAAAAACCCCATAGGAACGCATTAAACTCCATTTAATGTGTTCCTATGGAGACAAAACTCACCGCTAAGTGGGAATCCTCAATCTGGCCAGCATTTTCATCGCCTTGGTAAGCGAGGAATCAGCGTGAAAACGCTGCGGGCGGCCATTTTCTTCTTCCAGCGGCCATTTTGGAACCGCCGATCAGCTGTTCCAAAACATCGCAATGCGAAGATTGGTAAGCGAAACGCTTTCCGATCATCGCAATGCGATGTTTACCCTAGTCAGAACATCGCAATGCGATCGCATTAGCGATCGCAAAAAACACGTCGCTATGCAGATTCGTTGTTAAACGGTGCGCTCGTTAAGCGAGGCACCACTGTATTTGGGATGCGAACACGGACATGGCCTTTTCCCTGAGGTCCAGCCCCCCATTTACTTCTCATGTAGCTCTCACGAAAGGGATACAGAACCTTTACTTTTCCATTTTGAGATGTACATTATCATAATCAGAAGGCTTATCATTTTATCCATGGACTAGGCCAGAAGTCGCTTCTCCCTTGGTTGGCATCTCTGTCTTGAGGAAAGTGGAGAGACAGACACTGGCAGGGGCAGGCTGGCAAGTGAATTGAATTGAATTTATTTTATTACGGCCAGGTGACCAGCTCAAGGCTGGCAAGTGAATGGGAGAAGCTTGCCATGGAGCATCATTGTTTGACCGGCAACCTTCCTCTGGGACAACCTGAGGATTGCTTTTGGTCCAGATGTGATGTCTGCAATGGGGTCACGGACTTTAAACTCTCCATTGCTGTCTTAAAGGCGTGAAAAGATTGAGAAATAGGTTATCCATCAGAAAAAAGCTTGTTGGATTGCACTACTGGGCAAGCTTGCTGGGGGATTTGGCAGCCTTTTAAAATATATATACATATATATCCCAGAATCCTCCTATTAAAGCAAAAAAGACAAGTTAGTGACTTCAGATTTTCAGGCAACAATATTGTTCTTTCAAAACAAAAAGCATGGATGTTTTGCTAATACAAGACGGAGGTGTCACATTTTGTTCCAGAGCAGAATTTTACCCCCAGATTGCAGTTCTCCCGGTTTTAAAAAAAAGAGAGGGGAAAAAAAGAATAAAAGACATTGGGTGTAAAAGTAAGGCTTTCCCCCCGCTGTGTTAGTTCTAGGGCCCACATAACCTGCAGGTTGCACGGTTCCCCCTTTTAGAGCAGAAGGGTGAATATTAAATGAGTGAAACGCTAGGGAGCAAGAGGGAGGGAATCAAACCAGATGCCCCATTAGGTGTTCCTGAAGGGCCGGTTCCTGGAGCAAGCCACATAATACTTAACCCCAGGTTGGTTGTAATTGTGCCCCTCAGTGGTTGGAACCTATACATTTTGTCTTACAATGGGGCGGGGATTATAGCTTGTAAATATCGGTTATGGAGAACCTGAAGGTAGATTTGCAGATGTTTTAGGTGTCATCTTCCACCGACCGCTGTCTGCTTGGGCAGTGGTGTTTGGAGTTGATGGCCAGCCTTCCTACCTTCCTACTGCTCACTCCTGATGTAGAATACTTTGCAAAATGATGAGACCTCCTCTGTATAATTTGTGTCCTCTTAGCAACCGAAGGACACCATGAGGCTCGATGAGACGATGTTGGTGAAGCAGCTACTGCCAGAGATCTGCCATTTTATTTACACCTACCGGGAAGGGAATCAACACGCTGCTGAGCTTCGCAATTCGGCTTCTGGGGTTCTCTTTTCTCTCAGCTGCAACAACTTCAATGCCGTTTTCAGCCGCATCTCCACCAGGTGGGTGCCCTGAAACCGTTTATGATGAACTTCACTTACTAATATCTTTTTGGTGTTTTTGGCTGTGCCGGCTTGGCAGGGGGTAATGCAAGCTGATGATTCAGGACTTCTGGAGGGCCTCAATTCCCTTTCCGTGACTTGACTAACAAAGTAAACATTGGTCAAAAATTGTTGCCGCTTAGGGTGGTGAATTGTCCTAGAGTAGACCCATGGAATTGCTGGGGATCGGGTGAGTCAATTGCTCCATAAGTTCTATTGATTGAAATGAACCTACTTCAGTTCTGATTTGCAAAAGAATTAGAGTAGGCTTGTTTGAATCGATGGAGCTTATGGAGGGGTTGGAGAAAGGTTTTTAAGAAGGACACAGACAAACTGGGGCAAGTTCAGAGGAGGACAACCGGGATGATCCGGGGACTGGAAACCAAGCCCTTGGAGGAAAGACTGAAAAACCTGGGCATGTTATACCTTGAGAAAAGAAAAGAGCCCTTTTCAAAGACTTGAAAGGTAGACGTACAGAGGAGGGGCAGGATCTGTTCTTGATCATCCCAGAGTGCAAGACACATAGGAATGGGCTCAAGCTGCAGGAAGCCAGGCTTAGGCTGAATATCAGGGGGAAAAAACTTCTTAACTGTTAGAGCAGTACGACAGCGGAACCCATGACCTCGGGAGGTGGAGTCATGGAAGAGACAATGAGACAACCCTCTGTCAGAACAGCTTTGATGTGGATTCCTGCCTTGAGCAGGAGCTTGGACTCTGCCGCCTTATAGGCCCCTTTCCAGATCCACGATTCTATGATCCTGTGAACTGACTCACCCAATCCCCACCGGTTAGGTAGGGTTGACATTGCAATGGGGTTGAACACACTATAATAGGAAGATGAGCCGGTCTCCTTTGATCCGTCTCTTTATGACGCCCTCCCGCTTGGGGTTCTCAGGTAATTGCTTGATGCAGATGCATGTTAATAACCATCCCGATTTCCTTGTTTAGGAAGGGATGGACTTGTAAGCCTAGCCCATGGCGAGGAACGTTGGTAAGGGGTGCACCAGGCCCACCATCGCTAGAGGGAAAAGTCAAGAAGAGGCTGGAGGTCCTCGCTGACTTAATTTCTCTTGTTGCCTTCAGCCATCTTCAAGGGGGCCGCCGTAGTCACTGGTGGCCGTGGGGGCACTTGAAGATGAGTCAAGACGACATCAAGAGAACAAGAAGAACTGTGCCAAGGAGTATTAGGGTGTGAATGACAAGACATACCCTATTATTCCTCTTGGTTGGGACGGCCAGAGGTTCGGCTATTCTCTGAGCTGTAGATTCTTCTCGCAACAACCTTAGAAGGGAATCGCTTCCATCTTCGAGGCAGCGGGTAGAGAGAGAGAGACGGGTTCTTAAAGGGCACCTCTGTGCAGCTTCAAAGGGCTTTTAATAACCTCTGTTCTTAGGAGTTATTCTTGGCAGCTGTGTTTGGAGGATGTGGGTTTTCTTCCTTATTTTGTTCCATGCCTCGGTGGTGGGAGTTGCGTGCAGAATATAAGAGATGGCAGCCTTTTCTTCAGAGGGAGATGAGCCAGAAATAATTTAATCCATGCTCTTCTAGAATTAAGTTCTCACTGGTATCAGGCCTCTTCTTTCCTCCTCTCGGATATAAGGAATTGGGCTGGGAGAATCCGAAGGGGGAAAAATGGGTTTCAAATGAGGTTTACGGTTTTTAGCAGATAGTGCCTGCAAACTAAACAGCAGGCAGATTGCCTTTCCTTCCCTATATTGCAGTTAAGTGTAGCACCGCTTGTTTCTGGTTTAAATCCCACAAAGGGGTTATTTACATGTTCTCAGGTCCAGCTGGAATTGTTGGGTCTCCTCTGTATAACTCAGTGGTTCCCAACCTTGAGTCTCCATCTGTTCTTACACTAAAATTCCCAGAAGCCTTCACCACGAGCTGTTCTGGCTAGGATTTCTGGGAATTGTAGTCCAAGAACATGTGGGGGACCCAAGCTTGCGAACCACTTGTAGAATTGAAATGAACGTATAACCTTGGTGGTTGTACCTTAGGACTGTGAATTTCGGTCTGTAGATCTGGGTCTGGAGCTGGCAGAAGGCTTTTTTTTTCCTTTTTGTAGGGGGCAGATGATTTAGCTCTGAGTGCCGTATGGGACAATATCACCTAGAACAGTGATAGTCAACTGCAGTACGTGTACTACAAGGAGGACACCACAATAGTGCCCAGTGTTATAGGGTGGGCCAATAATAACTATAACATTCTTGATGATTTTGACTTATGCTGACCCTTTTTGGGGGTTCCTAGGAAGAGGCTACTCAGTAGGGATTTCCCATTCCCTTCTTCTGGGGGGTGTCCCTGGGACTGTGCAGTTTACCCAAGGCCACCCAGGCTGGCTCTTTCTCCCAAGAGGCGCAGTGCAGGATGCACTCTGGCTCCGCAGCCTGGTAACTTGATAAAATACTGGCAAATAAATGATGAAATAATTCGTATTAACTGGTTCTTCTGGCTTCTTTTGTTTACCAACCTATTCGCGGTTTGACCATGTGTGCCTCAAACTCGTTATCAGCCTAATAGCCAAAGAAGCCAAACCTTGGCTGCCACAGTGGAAATCCTGTAGCATTCTTCTAAAAATGGCTGTCAGCAGAGTGACTCGTGGTATTAAAAGCCACCAAGGGTTTATTGACAAGGAAGCATTGTTCTTTTGTGAGTTAAACATCTTCTAGATTGAAGCTCATTATCCTGGCATCGTTGAATTCTTAAGTTGCTCAGATTCTTGTTTCAAGGGTTAAGGGTCTGTCTTAAATAACTTCTGTTTTCATTAACACGTCAATTTATCCTTCCCTTTTCTTGCATTAACTCCTTCCTGTGTAACAAGAAGTGTAATTTCCGCCCCCCCAGATTACAGGAGTTGACGGTGTGCTCTGAAGACAATGCTGATGTTCATGACATTGAGCTCTTACAGTACATCAGCGTAGACTGCGCCAAATTGAAGCGTATCCTGCAAGGTAAGCAATGAGGCATAAAATGGTTCCTGGTCAAAGCGGTGATCCTGACCACACTTCTCCGGAGGGAACGTCCTGTTGAAATTGGTGGGTCTTATTTCCAAAATTACATTTCTAAGAACCGGATGCTACTGTTTTGCTTAAGGAAGAACTGTGTGCTTCAGCATTTTCTGGATACTGTAGGCGAGCTTGCTTTTGCTTGTTCTTTGAAATGGCGTTAACGCAGAGAAAAGGAAAAGTTGATGGTCGTAGTGGTCGTACCGTATTTTTCCTCCCTTGTGCTGTCTTGGTAAGAGCCAAGTTAGATGTAGCATGGGAGATACGGACTCGAGGTCTCCCATTTCATAAAATGAGCACCGCTCATGTGACTCCAGAGTCCCTAACTGGGACCAGATCAGAGCTTAGCAAAGGTGGACTGGAATTACAAGCAGCTGCCAGTGCCTGGGGGGTGGTTAAGGGGCATCTGGAACTTGAGTCCAAAAAAAGTGGGGAAAGAAGTGTAAGAAGTCTCGGGGGAGTGAAACCTGGCTCCGACATGCAGCAAATTCCTGTAAGGAATTCCCCATGTTTTAAAATTTGCACCATGAATCTACTGGTTCCCCTTGCCCCTCCGCTTACGGGAATTGGCTGTCTTTTGGACCCAAATTTAAACCTTCAAGATAATACATTTCTTTCCCCCTTCTTTAAACCTCATCAACTTAGAACTGAAATAGTTATTTTTGGTGATCATGGAGAATATTATCCCCAAAATGCTGATTCAGTTGGAGACACTGGGTGAGACTCTTCAAAAGAGTCTGGCCAGTGTTCAGTCACTGTTCTACTCTGTTCGTCTCTGTGAGAATCGCAGTACGTTTTAATACACTTAGTAGTAATTGGGAGTCTTGCTTGAAAATAGAATATGGGGTTCATAATGCAGAAAGAACTACTTAAGCGGTGGACCCCGTGGGAGATTCTGGGGATGTTTGGTGAATGTCGCTGTCACGCCACTCGCTGCCTGAATGCCGTTATTAATTATTGTTGTTCTGTTGCAGAGACGGCCTTTAAATTCAAAGCACTCAAGAAAGTAGCACAACTGGCGGTTATTAACAGTCTTGAAAAGGTAAATTTTCCCCCCAGGCTGGCAGTTTTCCCGGGCATAGCATGTCTTGATCTGATTCGTGCAGACAGTTTCTCAGGACGAAAGTCAGAAAGTTGTAGCTGTGTCTTCAAGGTGCTTTTAAAAAAATTGAGAGCATCTCCAGTGGAGTTTTTAAAAAAAGTTCATGAGGTCATGCTGGGATACCCTAGAGCTGTGATTCCCAACCTTGGTTCACTTAGGTGTTTTTGGACTACAACTCCCAGAAATCCTGGCCAGCCCAGCTAGGGGTAAAGGCTTCTGGGAATGGTAGTTGAGAACACCTGGGGACCCAAGGTTGAGAGGCACTTCCTATTTCTTTGTGGCTCTCGAAAGAAGAGCAACAAAGGCTTGCCTTATCCAATATCCTGTTTCCTATCAGTGGTATTTCCTAGACTTTTCTGTCACTTGGAGGCATGGTGCCTCTGATGCTGGGAATATCGGCCTCTCTTACAGCAATGGTTCTTAACCTTTGTTGCTCAGGTGTTTTGAACTGCAACTCCCAGAAACCCCAGCCAGCAGAGCTGATGGTGAAGGCTTATGGGAGTTGCAGTCCAAAAACATCTGAGTAACAAAGGTTAAGAACCAGTGTCTTACAGTAACAATGTTGTAAATGCACATAAAAAGATGATGAGCTTTGCTCTTAATCTACAAAGTTCTTCTTTTCTGGTCCGATTAATTTTATCGCAGAGAAAAGGTGGGAGATAACTGGGCTAGAGCCAGTTTTAGTCTTACTTAAAATTCAGTCAATTGTTAATACTTTGAAGCAAATAGGACTTGAATGGACAGCCAGTTGAGCAGAAGTTCTGTCCTAATACCTAAATCAAAATTGACTTAAAGTCATAGAATCATGGAGTTGGAAGAGGCCTATGTGGCCATCGAGGTCAACTCCCTGCTCAAGGCCAGGAATCAAAATAAAAGCGGATCTGACAAAGGCTTGTCCATTTTCTCTTGAAGGCCTCCAGCGTTGGAGCGCTCACCCCTTCCTAAGGTCTTGGGTTCCGTTGTCGTACTGCTCTAACAGTTAAGATGTTTTTCCTGATACTCACCTGAAACCTGGCTTCCCATAGCTTGAACCCATTATTAAATGTCCTGCTCTCTGGGATGATCGAGAAACAGGTTCTGACCCTCCTCTGTAGGGCAGCCTTTCAAGGATTTAAAAAGTCCTGTCTTCAGGTTCTGACCCTCCTCTGTAGGGCAGCCTTTCAAGGATTTAAAAAGTCCTGTCCTCTCTCCGCTCAGTCTTCCTTTCTCAAGGCTAAACGTGCCTGGTTTTTTCAGTCTTTATTTATAGGAAAGGTACATTGATGACACATGATTATTATTATTGTTGTCGTTAAGACTAAATCCACAGTTTAAACGAATAGTGCCAATTAACGATGACACCCATTTGTTGTATAGGCATTTTGGAACTGGGTGGAAAACTATCCGGATGAGTTTACCAAGCTGTACCAGACTCCACAGACTGATCTGGCAGGTAAGGCCTCACCTTTTCCCTTTTCCCCCATCCTCTGAATAGAAATTTGCTTTAGTTGTCGCTAGGTTTCGGAGGTTACCTACTTCTGCTTGGCTCTGCTGAGACTCATGGAATTAAAAAAATGATTTAAAATAATAGAAACAAAAAATTACAAATAAGCAAGCACATCACAAGCCTCTGAATAGAAATTTGCTTTAGTTGTCGCTAGGTTTCGGAGGTTACCTACTTCTGCTTGGCTCTGCTGAGACTCATGGAATTAAAAAAATGATTTAAAATAATAGAAACAAAAAATGACAAATAAACAAGCAAGCACCTCATTTGAAAGAGGAGCTCGTTGACACTTTTTTTGCACGTTCAACAAATTACTTACGAAGGCTGTATTCAAAGGTGTTCCCTCCTCTGAAAATTAAAATGGCACAGATCACATTCGTTCTATTCTATTCTATTCTATTCTATTATCATTTGAAAGAGGAGCTCATTGACACGTTGTTTTTTTGCATGTTCAACAAAATACTTACGAAGGCTGCGTTCAAATGTTCTCCCTCCTCTGAAAATTAAAGTGGCACAGAGCACATTCATTGTGTGACCGATTTCTCACCTTACAAGAAGGAGAACCTGCTGCGGGGAAATTTTGCTCAGCTGACCTTATACGGTGGCATACCTGATGTGATTCTGGTCCATGAATTCTTTCCATTTCCTTGTAAAACAGTCCTGGTTGGCTGCTGTCCTTTCGTCTTGTGGCAGTGAATTCTGCCGTTTAGCTGTATTTGATTTTTCCCCCCTGTCCTGACTCTCCCACCATTCAGCTTCAATTGCTGATCCTAAATTCCCTAAAATCAGTCACAGAATGAGTTGGGATAGATTCCGAGATCCACGTAGCTCAACTCCAAGCCAGTACAGTAAACCTACAGCTAAAGTGTAAAATTTTAAGAGGAATCTCTGAGGGTCATGCCGAACTTGTGCAAAACCTTCTTCAGCCTTCACAGTGTGCAAAATTCTCTTTTTATTTTTTTGCGCAAGGAGCGGAAGAGGTTTCAGCTTTGGCACATGTCAGCCGCAGCGGGAACTCTTGTGTCCATTGTGGTATCTTTTTGTCTCCTCTCTTCCTTGCAGATTGTGCAGAGAAACTCTTTGATTTGGTGGACGGGTTCGCGGAGAGCACGAAGCGCAAAGCAGCCGTTTGGCCGTTGCAAATCATCCTCCTTGTGTTGTGTCCGGAAATCGTCCAAAGCATCGCCAAGGATGTGGGGGACGACAGCAAAATAAACAAGGTGAAGAAAGCAGGAAATGTCTTCCCTGCCCAGTTGCGGTCAGGCTTTTATAGATCTAAGCATGTGGGTTTGTGTGTGTTTTGTTGTTTTTAAAATTTTAACGAAGCTTCGTATTTGGTCAAGCTGGTCTGGACTAAGCATCTCTTCTTGTCTGCTCCCTCTCTTTTCTGAACGTGTTGTTTTCGTAAATGAAAAAAAATGTTAGTAGGGTAACATTCAGAAGTATGTTTTCCACTTGCAGTTGAAAATGGTGGAGTGATGGGTCTATCAGTGAGAAGGATTCCTCCAAGGGAGCCTTGGGGACATTTTTCGGCCTTAAAAGCAGAGTTTAGTTTCAGGTTGGAAATTTCAGGGGCTTGATTTCCAGCAGTAAAAGGAGATGAAGTCCCTAGAGAGGGAGGAAATCAACCTGTCTGTTTTAGTTCTAAATTTAAAATGCCAGTACTTGAACAATAAAGTACACATTTCAGTGTTAGAATGGGGTTACCTGTACAAAAGCTGGGGAAGCGTCCCCCATCTCTCCTCCTTAAGGAGAAGAGAGATGGGGTTTTCAGGGGATCCATCAAGGATTTACAAGTTTCACCTCCAGAACGTAGAACGATTACTGGTTTTTAGGTGCCCTGGCGCTAAATTGTGAAGGGTTTGAAACAAGCACTTTATATTAAACCCAGAAAAAAAAATGGAAGCCCATGCAATCATAGTGTAAATACAAGTTGCAGCCTTCGCTAAAAAAAAGAAACAGCCAAGTGTCCAGGGACACCTTGAAATTCACCAAGCGTTATTTGCCGTGTATTGTCATAAAGTGGCCTCTGTCTTCATCATCAGGAGCCTCTAAACGGTGAAGGCCTTTTGCCACAGGGTGAGACTGTTTTGAAATCTGAGTTGCTTCGGACCCGAAACGGTTTCTTTGCCAGTCTGGTAGTCGGGTTAAAGGCGCCATAATGTTGAAAAACGAAAACATGACAAGTCTCTGTCCAATATGAATGGGGTACACTTAGACCTACTTTACCCTGCATCATTTTGGGGGCTTCCTACAGAATGCTCCCCATGGGGAATGGATGCATATTGGAAACTAACATGCTGGGATATGAATGGATAGACAAGAAGAGTTCTTTCTGTCAGGTTCATATTTTGTGTGCAGTGGTTTTTTTTTAATTATTATTTTCGGCGCTAGGAGTATTAAGTTATATTCATTCTCCTAGTGAATTCTAAGTGCAGCCCACAAAGTTATCATGTAGGGAAATCTGCTTTGACACAGATCTCGGATTTTAAAAAAAAAGCTGACCATTATTATCTTCGGTCCTGAAGTAGGGCAGGACGAAGATCGTTCTGAGAATCTGTAAGAGACGCTTAATAATAAAAGCCAACGGCGCCCCCAAAGCTAACCTCCTTGTCCTCCAGCTCAGCTACTGACAGGTGAGGAATTAGAACCCAGGGTGGCTTTATAAAGTTTTCTGTCTCTGGTTGATGTGTTTCCAAAACCTGCAGAAGCTATTTTTGGACAACCTCCGGAAGGCCCTGGCAGGCCACAGTGGAAGTCGGCAGCTGACTGAAAGCGCGGCCATTGCGTGCGTCAAGCTGTGCAAAGCGTCCACCTATATCAGCTGGGAAGACAATTCCGTCATTTTCCTTCTGGTTCAGTCCATGGTGGTGGATCTCAAGGTAAAAAAAGGGGGGAAGGCAGGACCAGAATTCTGTAGTGTATGTGTATTTATTTATATTTGAAATAGTGGAGTGAAATGCTTAATATCTCAATATGGAGCAGTCTGTCAACAAGGGATAAAGGAGCTTGTCAAAGTATCTCTCCCCAATATCGTGGTCCCCAATCTTGGGCCTCCAGATGTTCTTGGACTACAACTCTGAGAAGCCTTCAGCACTACCTCTTCTGGCCAGGATTTCTAGGAGTTGAAGTCCAAGAACATCTGGGAGGCCGAAGGTTGGGGACCACTGATCTACCGGACCCACCAGGTCCTCCCAGGCGATGCTTCTTGGTCTTCCCACCTTGAGGGAGGCCCAGAAATCTTCTACGAGGAGCAGGGCCTTCTTTGTGGTGTCCCCGATTCTATGGAACCAGCTGCAGTCGAAGGTATGCCTGGCCCACCTCCCGGCTATAATGTTCAGAAGGCAGCTTAAAACACTGCTCTTCAGAGAGGCCTTCCAGAATGACCCTTGCTGACGTTGCACCTCTGTTTTCGTGCTTTTAGGGAAAGCCCCTTTGTCTTCCTGGTTTTAATGGCTTTGTTTTTTAAATAGTTTTGCACATTGACTAGACAACTGCTTCACAACATTTGGACACATAAGTACATCTAAAGATAATAGAATTTCTGGCTTCGGTAGAGGTTCCAGAAACTGAAGGAGCTGCCCATTAGAATAAAAAACTCAGCAAAATTCTGTGTCTGGGGCACAAGCTATTGTTTGGGGGTGCTCTCAAAACGGTACCACGATCTGGTTTGTCAAGGCAGTCTGTTTGTTTCTTTACGATCAAATCATGGCCAACTGTGTTAGCCTACTGGTAAAAAAGCAAACGCTGGAGGGCCTGAGGGTTGGCCGAGAAACTTGAGGCATTAGAAAAGTCAACCTCAGAATGTATCCACTCCGCCAGCGGTGTGAGCATCCACATCAAGAACTGCTTGGGGGTTCGATGCTATCTATTTGTGGAGTACTCTCGTTCTCTGAAACGGTTAGCCAGCATGGGCACCGGCTGGAGGATTTTGCAAGCTGTTGTCCATAAAAGCAGACCTTTTAAGGTCTGCGAGAACTGGTCCCAGTGTGTGACTGGAAATGGTCCACTGGGAAACTCTGTGCCATGAACCACCAGATGAAGAGTGCAGGGTGAATGGATGTTGGAGACCAGAGACTGTGACTGGAAATGGTCCACTGGGAAACTCCGTGCCATGAACCACCAGATGAAGGGTGCAGGGTGAATGGATGTTGGAGACCGGAGACCTTCTCGCATCCGTTGTCTGGTTACCGGTCCTAAGGGACAATGACATCAACCTTCATTCTTCCATCTAAATATCCATCTCAGTCCTGAATATCTGTCACAAAGGTGGGATTCCTTTCACCAACTCCTTTCCGTGTGCCTTTATTGCAAGGTGTGTGTCTTGCATCTGCTGTGGGGAGGGTGAAATGTGCTCACGTTGGCTAGATCTTTGGGGGATTTTAGCCCAGCGAGATCTTTGTGCATCTCTGGGAGTGATGCATGCGCGAAGGCTCATGCTTTGCTGCGTTTTCTGAACAAGCCAGCCGCTTTCTCACGAGTCGCTCCCTCTGCGCATTTAAAAATATTGAGCTCATTTATGTCTCCGGTCCTTTTAAAAACAGAGCTGGTGGAAATAACCCCCACGCTTATTGGCTGTTTTATAGAACCTGCTGTTCAACGCAAATAAGCCTTTCTTGAGAAACCAGAACGCCGACATCGACCTCATGATCGACTGCTTGGTGTCCTGCTTTCGCATCAACCCGCACAACAACCAGCACTTCAAGGTGAGGGGGGCCGGGGGCTCGGCCACCACGTGCGCTCTGTCTCGACTTCGGTTTTGATCCACTGGATACGAAGGATGAGTTAGCAGCAGTTCAAGCGTTCATGAATAATAGAGATTCCATTTCTCAGCGGTCACTGTTTTGAATGTTTCCTGGAAATCTATTTTTAAGCTGGCTCTTTTTTTGGGATGCCTTCTCATCTTGCTTTTTATTGACCTTTAAAAAAAAAATAACCGAAGAAGCTCTAAGTAGTCTCTCATCTAGACCCTGTTCTGCTTTCGTTTCTTTCAAAAGCAACCGCCGGGGCAGGTGTGGACAGAAGCCATCAGCAGCCTCTTGGGTGCAATATTAATAAGTTGCTCGCTGATGTTCACTTCAGTTGTGTCCTGCGTGCTTCCGTAGAACCTTGAACTGCTTATGAGGGAGAATATGGGGCTGCCCTTGCAAGGATGTCCTGCTGGGAGGCTTTCTGTGTACAACTGATGAACCGCCATGTACACAGGCAGCTAAGGCAGACCTTGGGTCTGATTTATGAGCCTATCCAGGTTTGAAGGTCATCCTTTCTCTTGGTCCTGCCACCTTCATTGGAGCATTTGGTGGGGACATGGGAGAGGGCCTTCTCTGTGGCTGCGCCTAGTCTTTGGAACTCCCTCCCACTGGAGGCCAGGCTGGCCCCATCATGGCTGCCTTTCTGCAAACAGGCGAAAACCTTTCTCTTCAGGCAGGCTTTCCTTTAAATCACTGGTTCTTAACCTTGGGTTACTCAGGAGTTTTGGACTGCAACTCCCAGAAGCCTTCACCACCAGCTGTCCTGACTGGGGTTTCTGGGAGTTGCAGTTCAAAAGCATCCGAGTAACAAAGGTTAAGAACCACTGCTTTAAATGACTGGTTTACCCAGGGGAGTTTTGAAACTGATTATTTTATTCTGTTGTACTTCAGCTTTTACAGTTGCTCTCATTTGTAAGTTTTAATTTGATACCAGTTTAATGCTTCTCAGTATTGTAATAACTTATTATTTAGCTTTTGACTCGTTTAACACTGTAAGCTTCCTTGGATCCTTTAGGGTGAAAGGTGGCATATTTTAAATAACAACAACATTAATTTACCCAGTACTCTTACGTTCTTGTGCAGAAATCCCTGGCAAGTATTTACTTCTTGGTTTATAAGATGCTTATGAGAAGAAGCCGTCTAACCCATCCTTCCTTCTCTTCTAGACTTGCTTAGCACAGAATTCTCCGTCAACATTTCATTACGTTCTGGTGAATTCACTCCACCGGATAATCACAAATGTAAGTTTTCCAGCTGCTTGAAATAATTCATGTCAAGAGATGGGCACGAACTGCCGATTCGGCAGTTCGTGGGGGTTCATTTATTGTCCAAAGAGGTGTTTTGCATTTCCCAGACCTGCTTCCCCTAGCTGGCATCCACTCAGGAGGTACGCCTAGGAAGTTCTGAACACTTTTTTTTGGCCAATAAATGAACTGCTGAACTGTCAGTTCGGGCCCATTTCTATACATGCCCCAAGGCACCGGATTTGACACTGCCTCAAGAAGCAGGATAAGAGTGGGGGAACATAAAGGAGTGATCTGTTGAAGTCAAGTGAACAGTTAAATAGGATGCTTGCTGGTTGTGTCCAATGAGCGCATGAGCTCAAGGACAAGAAAAAAACCATCAGAATCACTCATTCTCAGTTTCCTTGTGTATGGTTTTCAAAAAACTGATTGTTTGTCAATCAATTCCTATTCCATCAAGTGGTAGGTGCCACCTAATTACAGCATGCTGAGTGTAAAGGCAACTCTAGGGAGCCGTTAACCTGATTGAGGGATCTGGATTTGGCCATAAGATCACACACATCTGGATGTGTACGTTCCCTCCAGCTTTCTTTTATCGTGATTTACCATTTATATCTTAGTGGTCTATGGGAACCAGATGTTAATTGGGACCTGAGTGAACTAATCCTGAGATTTTGAAAACAGTTGTAAAATAGAATTTCAAATCATACATTAAATGATACTCCATAGCTTGTCCTGTACTTGCTGTCTGCATAGACCTCACAAGGAGTAGACATGAACTATTCGTATCCCTGGGGATATGAATAGTGGCAACGCAGGTGCCACGGAGGCCTGTTCCCTCCCCCACAGAACCAGCCGGTCCACTCACCAGTCACAGAGTGGTGCTGAGTTCTGTTGTCACTGCACCCAATCTCAGGAGGAGCCCCACTGACTCTTCCCTGCCTCCCTGCTCAGCCCATGAGTGGTCGGGTGTAAAGGGAGGCAGGGAAGAGCCGGCCAGGCTCCTCCTGCGATCGGTGCAGTGACGACTACAACGGGACTGAGCGCCGCATGCAAGTGGTGAGTAGACCAGCCGAAGGTTTCACAGCTGCTGCCAGAGTAGCATTTCTTTAAAGCAGGGGCAGGTCATCTTCGGGCTGTTATGTATGTTTTGGACTACCACTCCCATGGTCCCACCCAGCCTGCTTAGTGATGGGCAGTGTGGCCGTTGCTGTTGGAGACCCATAGTGTTTGCCCCTCGGCTTGAAGCTCTTTTATCAAATTGGAGTCTCTTCGGACAATCAGAATGTCAGGTGGGCGATCGTAGTTAAAGATCGCCTGGTGAACTACATGCTGCGCCTTGCCTTCGCTTTCCATTCTGTGACTTTCTGTTTCAAATTGGAGTCTCTTCGGACAATCAGAAGGTCAGGTGGGCGATCGTAGTTAAAGATCTCCTGGTGAACTACAATGCTGCGCCTTGTCTTCGCTTTCCGTTCTGTGACTTTCTGTTGTCGCCCCCTCCCTCCCTTCCTTCCTCCTAGTCCTCGTTAGACTGGTGGCCTAAGATTGATGCCGTCTATTGCCATTCCGTGGAGCTCCGCAGCATGTTCAGCGAAACCCTCCACAAAGCTCTGCAGGGATCTGGGGTTCACACCCCGATTCGCATGACCCCGGTGAGTCCTTGAATTTTTCCCTCTCTCTCTTTTTTTTTTTCTTTAAGAAGTGTTTCCATACTTGAGGTTCTGTTACCACGGGAAGTAGTAAAATGCCATCACTGGCGTTCTCACATGAACTTTCCTATGTGTCCTAAGGCGATCGGACGCCCTCGCGAAGCCTTGGGATTCAAGCTTTTATCTTTCCCAACCTGCTAGTAGCTGTTGTTTAAAATTACAGAAGTTGTCAGGGACGGAAGGAAGGGATTAAAACAAACAACCACCCTTTTTCCACGAAAGTTAAGCAAAGTAAGATTGAGTTGGGCTAATGGCGTGGCTTGACAACTAGCTACTTAAATGGCTGCAGCCTTGCCAGGCCATTGACTGGACATCTATCTGTATCTCACTGTTGCTCGTCCTTTAGGAGGTTAGTTCAGGTGGGAGACTTGTCAGGTGAGATGTTTTAAGCGGTATTTTCCCCCCACATCAGCAGTAACTGGGGAGTAGTTCTTCCTTGACGTGCTTTAAATAAATAAATAAATAGAAAACGTAAGGTTGGAATCATCCTATCTTTTGGACATTCATATAATGTTGTTGGTTCCCTCCCCCCCCCCAGAGTCTTACATTCAAAGAGAAAATGACAAGCCTTAAGTTTAAAGAAAAGCCTACAGACGTCGAAACCAGAAATTACAAAGTCTTGCTGTTATCCATGGTAAAATTGATCCACGCCGACCCGAAACTCCTGCTCTGTGTAAGTAAAAAGACGGCTTTGAAAAATGTCTTTCTGATACATACACGCCTAATTGGTTTGGTTTTTTTTTTAAATGGGGCTTTCAACCAAAAATATGTATTGACTTACTCACATGGAGATCTTAACAGGCAGAGGAATAGTGGTTACGGAATGGTTGTTGTGGGTTTTTCGGGCTCTTTGGCCGTGCTCTGAAGGTTCTTCCTAACGTTTCGCCGGTCTCTGTGGCCGGCATATTCAGAGGACAGCACTCTGTGCTCTGGTGTAGTTGGCTTTGGGAGTGCAGCCTTCGCGAATATAGTGGTTACGGAACCCTGCAATCTTTTAGGGTGATGTGATGTGGTTGTTGCTTCTGGGCCACCCCATCTGGAAGCAGAAGGGCCCAAAGCATTCCTGATCCTTAAATGCCAATGGCAGTTGTTTGCAACGTGTACTCAAACGGGGCCTGTTTTTTTATTAGTACAATATTCTCCCCCGATTTTGAAGAGTATGTTAAAGTCACTCACATTAACTCACCCATTCCTAACCCCCACCTTTACCTGGCTAATTACTGCTTTTTGTGGTCCTGAAAGTGGCTGTTTCAAGGGCCACACCCCTTCATTTCATTGCTTTGAGCTGGTTTTTTTTCCTTAGGACGCTTCGGTCCTGCTTGCCACATGGGGGAACCCATTTCAAAACTGACGTTTTCAAGCCGTTTGTAATATAGCGTAAAGATACCCTGTTCATATGGGGTATGTGTGTCAAATTTACCCCTGACGTACGTTTCAGCCAGCCCTCCCCGTCCCAGCATGCTTCTCCCAGAAACCTTCACCACTTAGTTATCATAGAACAAGATTGACACCAAAACAATTCTTTATACAGCACAGCAAAAAAACACAATTGATGCCGCTCAAGTCTCTCTTTGCAACTCTGCTCGTCACACCTTGGAATAAATATCCACTATAGAAAAACAAAACACTCTCCTCCCGCTCTGATCCTTTTTCCATTCTCAAAGTTTTAACTCCTGTTCCACGGGACCCAGAACCTAATCTTGCCCCTGGCCCAGGCCTTCACCTCTCTCAGAAAGAGCCTGGCACAAACTAAGCTAAGTGAACATTCATACCGAATGAGCGTTGACCCGTTCCTTCTTTGTTGCCCTTTTTACCACCATCCATTGAAAAAAGGTCACCATCCACCCCATAGCCAGAAGGAGAAGGATGAGAGTCTGCCTCTCCCTGGTAAAATGAAGGGCCCCCAGGTTTCCTCCCATCTTTTTAGGGTCATGTTTGGGTAAGCCCCGTGCTGCTGGGTGTCTTGTTTTCAACAGACCTGAATGGGCTTTTGCGGTAAGTAACCGATGCATTAGTTAATCCTGTTACAAAATGGTGAACTCAAGCGTGATGAGTCTTTGGTAGGTACATGTGCAGGTATAACGTGACATGTAACAAACTCCTTTGGAACGGTGGTTCCACGAAGCTGACATATCTCTGCCTTTATATACAGAATCCAAGAAAACAAGGGCCTGATACACAAGGCAGCACGGCTGAGCTCATAACAGGACTTGTCCAGCTGGTGCCACAGTCCAGCATGCCCGAAATAGCACAGGAAGCCATGGAGGTAATCAATGCTACATCATTGGCATTCAGGCCCATTGTTTGGACAAGAAAATGTACGTTGGTTCCTGCAACCTTGTGTTAAAACAGATGCTGGCCCATTTTAAAAGCTGAGCCTTTGGGCGGTGATGCCGGGTTGTATTTTTATAAGAGTGTCATGTTTTGAAATAGGAATTGAATGAAATTTAGCATGGAATGCGATCTTCATATATTGCCTAAATGCCTTATCTATGGTTTTATTGTGTGGCTAATAAAAGCTCATACAGTGGGAAAACAGATACTGTAGGACCCCACCATGTTGGATTAGCATCCGCCAATTCACTTATTGGCTGCCTGGTAATATTAAATAAAAAACCTCAGAAATACATATTCGTATGTATTTCCCGGGTGTCTTTACCAGAAGTAGCCACTAGAGGGAGGCAGAGACCATGCATTCGTTGGGGAGGCTTGGAACCGATTCTCCTCGGATGCTCCGTTCTGCTGTACTGGCTCCTCCATATTGGAAATGTCAGAAATAGGGAGGAGAAAACAATACTGCCATTTCCGGGTCCTTCTTTAAATCAAGGCACTTCCCAATTATTCAGCTCTGTGTTTGATGGTGTTTTTTTAACATGTTCATGCTCTCATGTATAGTATTTTGATTTCCCCCCTGACATCTTCCCCTGAATTCGGGCACATGATTTCTTGACGGCCCTGTGTATAGAATGTCATGTGGTTAATAAATAGAGCTCTTGAAAGCCATCTTTTCTGTGACCAAATGTCTTGATTCCTTCAATCTCTACTTATTTATATGGAAGAATCGGTACAGTATTATCCAATTTTTCATTAATGAATAAGATTCCCTGTGTTTGTATGCCCAGGCTTTGCTTGTGCTCCATCAGTTAGACAGCATTGATCTGTGGAACCCAGATGCGCCAGTTGAAACATTCTGGGAGATCAGGTGAGCACCTTTCTTGTCTTGGGCACGATGAAGCAGGCTTTCTCCCCTCCCTTTTCTGGGCTCTGGATCATCTCTAGAAGCCCTCTTAAATGCATATCTTTTAAAAATGCAGTTCATCACTTTTCCTTCTGATGCCAACATGTCACTCAGAATGGCTTACATCGTTTAAAATGATGATGAAATGCAAGAGTATTCCATAAGGATAGCAAGATGCTCATGATGGCAGTTTCACCAAGTAAATATAAGGAATAGCGGATGATCCGTCTGATAAAATAAATATGTCTGACGTTCTGTGAAACATTGCCATAAAAGAGCACACGTGGATTTCTCAAGGAAGAGAATTCCACAATTCCAGGGCATTTGCAGTATTTCTTCTTTCTCCATTGCCATAAAAGAGCACACGTGGATTTCTTCTTTCTCCCTCTCTCTCTCTGGCCCACACTGTTGTAGTGAACTGCTTTTGTGAAATGTATCCATTTGGGTTACGAAAAAACATTTCAGTAAATCGCTAACAAAGATGATCTTCCCAATTTCATGTTCCTGCAGTTCGCAAATGCTGTTTTGTATATGCAAGAGGCTAACGAGCAATCAGATTCTCAGCAGCACAGAAATCCTCAAGTGGCTGAGAGAGATTTTGATCTGCAGGAACAAATTTCTTCTGAAAAACAAAGTAAGTGAATGGCTTGATGGCTGTTTGAAGGATGAAAAAACCCAACCCAAACCCCGAGGCTCGCGTTGAGTTGCTCCTTTTCATAATCTCTTGGGTGCCTTGTGGAGAGCCAGAGGATTTGACTAGCTCCAGCTAGATGGAACATTCTCGCTCAATAAAGGAAGTGAAAAATCAAATACGTTTTCTTAGCTTTGAGAGTGGGTTCTCTTCACTTGTCAAGGAGATACAGATCTGTACAAAAGTGCCCTCACTCTCTCATTGTTGTTTAAGAAGAGTGGCTTTCCTCCTATGAGTGAGTCAACGTTTAGCACATCATACGCTGGCTTTTAATGTTTAAGACCCTTTTCACCCAGAGAAGTCCTGTCTAATGGGTTTTTGTTTTCTCTGTTCATAAATATGCTTCCGTATCCCCTTCTCTTTCCTTGTTTTCTCTTGCTTTAAGCCCTCTTTGCCTTAGAAAAGTTGGGTGACGGCAGAATGATGTTTTCTTCCCTCTCTCTCTAGCAATCCGATAGGAGTTCCTGTCCCTTTCTCTTCCTTTACGGCGTAGGATGTGATGTCCCTGGGGGCGGAGCTAATCAAATTTCTCTTGACCCCGACGAGATGATGCGCTGCCTCCCGGGAGCGACACTCAGGAAGGGCAAAGGGAGCTTCAGCATGGTAAGTGGAAGCTACGGGGGCAGTTGGCTAAATCATGAACATCTGTCCCCTAGCTGTTTGTTTAGAGTAGAAGACAGTAGTAGCGGTGGCCTTTCAAATGTTTTGGGCCCTGCATACCATAGTATATCAGTAAAAAAACAAAATGAAGCACTAACTGCTATAATTTAATGTTATCTTTTCTGGAAGAAGCCCACTTCTTCAAACATAAAATTGAAAATACAGAGACTACATGGTAAAGCATCCATGGAAGACCCTAAGATAAAAGGACAGTGTTGCTTGGTTGTATTTCACATCTAGCCATGATTTAAGGCTATTGTTTGGTATTCAGTTCTTTTGAAGCTTGGTTCTGTAAACAGCAACAATGATTAAAGAAAACAGCAGGAAAAACAACATGCGGTGATGTAGAGAATGACAGACTTTACCTTTGAGCCTTATTCTGAAAAGGTGGGTCTACTTAGTTGGGAGAGGAAACAACAATACATAGCAACATAATATAAGATTTGGTAGTGGCTTAAGAAACCTTGGCTAATATTTAATCCATAGAATCATAATCTTTCACTATACCTGAAGATCTGTTGATACGGGGTGGAGTGGGGGAAATACAGGGGACAGGACATACAGAGAAGACATCCGCCTGGTGCTCTATAAAGCCATTTATAGTAGGTCCTCCATTTGTGGTCCAGTTGTGACCCCAGATTTAACAGGGAGGGACATCACAACTTGCCCAGCTATGAAACCTGCCGTCCAATAATCGCCTGGGGGGGGGCTGTGCCACGGTGACCCCTTCTCCCAAACGTGGTTTTTTTTGGGGGGGGAGATGTGTCGTCCGATGATGGAACCACAGTAGGTCACATTGCCCACTTTCCTGTCTCTGAAGGAGAGCCCGGCAGGTTGCAGCGGGACACAGATCTGCCGCCAAGCCCAGACGAAACTCGAGGTTGCTTTGTACATGTCCCTCTGGAGCCCGGACACCGAGGCGGTGCTGGTCGCCATGTCGTGTTTCCGGCACCTTTGTGAGGAGGCCGACATCCGGTGCGGTGTCGACGAAGTCTCCGTCCATAACTTCCTGCCCAACTACAACACTTTCATGGAGTTTGCGTCCGTAAGCAACATGATGTCTACAGGTAAGGCTCTCCGGCAGGAGAGAATACCGTTCCTTGGGAAATCCAAAAATTGTAGGGCTTTTTTGGGGGGAGGGTTAAGGGTTAAAATGGAAATTTTTTTCAGGTATCTTTTGCAAGCCTCTCCTTTGCAGTCCAGCGTATTTCATGCTGTGCTTTTAAGTTTTATACACTGTGTATAATCCTTTTGCAGTTCTTGCATGCTTCTTTGAAATCTTCTGGAGGAATTTATTAATATGAAGTTTCTTACTGCTGATAAAAGAATGGAAGCAGCTGCCTTAAACAGGGCTAGTGTCCTGATTTGACTTCATGAGGATGCTCCAGTCTTTATAAGCTGATAACTGTTTCACCTATCATTGATAATTCAGTGCGTAGCCCACCCTTTATACGTGTCTAGAAGTGGTTGCTGAAAAGGCCCTGATAAAGAGAGAGAGAGAGAGAGAGAGACTGTGTATTTTTTTTACTGCTTAGGGAGCTGTTTGCAGAGAACATCAACCACGAATGAAACGATCTTGTTATAAGTTTAAAATATGCCTTTGACCACCTCTTCTTAGGCAGAACAGCTCTCCAGAAAAGAGTGATGGCTTTGCTGAGGCGAATCGAACACCCAACACCTGGCAACACAGAGGTAAGTTCTTTGCTTCTGCCGCTTGGTCTTCCGCCATGGTGTGTGTGTGTGTGTGTGTGTGAGAGAGAGAGAGTTGCGTTCAGCCTGTGCTTCTTTGTTTGGAGCATAGAGTTGTTCCCCTCCGTCCACAGCTGCCTAAGCTGTAACCATGAAACCGCAACCAGACTCTGGACTTGCAAGTAAGAGCGACTTCCATCTCGCCATGTACCTTTGGACTTTTACATTCTGTACACTGCTGTGAGCCTGATGAAGTTGTGTTTTAATCCATGAAAGCTTTTGGATTGTAGGACGATTTTTTTTTTAGTGGTCTGGAAAGGCATTTTGGCACTTGGATTTTTATTTCATTTGGACCCCACGGCTAACCCTTTACTTCAATATCACTCTGCCTGTTTACAACCTTGGCATGTCTTGCTTGTTGTTGCCTTTTAGGCCTGGGAAGACACGCATTTAAAATGGGAGACGGCGACGAAATTGATTCTCAACTATCCGAAGACCAAAATGGAAGATGGCCAGGTAAGGCGGGGATCTGCAAGGTGGCCTTTCTCTGTTGCTGTTTAGCGTTGAGCGCAGCTTCCCTGACATGTTATTCTCCAGATGTGTTTTGACGACAGCTTTCAGCATATGCAGCCAACAGGAGCTGTCACCTGACACATCTGGAGGGCATTATGTTGAGTATGGCTAGCCTGTTCTTTCATTATTCAGATAGGCACACTCCCAAAGAGGCATCTGTTTTCTCTTCTGTCCTTCTGTTGTTCTGAGTGCTCAAGCTGTCAACCAGATTTATGATTCTTTGGAAGAAGCCAGGTAGCTGAATCCTTCTTCAATATTTTACCTCCTTCCCGCTCTTTCAGCCATGGGACGCGTTCTCTACCATCCATCGTGACATTTTCCCGAGAAGGCAGCTGGAAATCTTCTTTGGGGCTATAGGCATTTGCTTACCATCCATCGTGACATTTTCCCGAGAAGACAGCTGGAAGTCTGCTTTGGGGCTATAGGCATTGGCTATTTTTTTCCCATATAGAGTGGTGCCTCGCAAGACGATGTTAATTCATTCAGCGAAAAAAGTCTTGTGAAAACATCGTCTTGCGAAACGCGGTTCCCCATTGGAATGCATTGAAATCTATGTAATGCCTTCCAATGGGGAAAAATCGTCCTCTTGCGTAAATCGTCCATGGAAAACATCATCTTGTGAAGTCGTCTTGCGAAAATTGTCCATGGAAAACATCATCTTGCGAAGCGCCACATCGATCGCAAAAATCAATCGTCTTGCATATTAATCGTCCCGTGAGGCAATCGTATATTCTGCTTTTTAAAGCACACTTCCCAAAGCAGTTCACAAATTACAAAAGTAACAAATTACTAGTGCAACTAATATCAGAGAACAGAAAGACGGAAAAATCCACGTTCTTGGGAAAACACCAAGGAATTTTGGTTTGGCTGCTTGCTTTCCAGGAAGACATTTAAAAGGAGGCTCTAAAAGGAAAAGTGCAGTGAAAAGCCATTGAGCGTGATACAGGCTGGGGGATTCTAGTGGTGGTCGTCCACAAATGTGGTTTTTCCAAGCTGCATCTGGCATGATTTACCCAAATGCATGAGCCTTGTTACGAACTCAGCATGCTATGTTCCCCCCCCACCCCTCTCTGCCTCCTTTGCCCAGGTTGCCGAAAGTCTTCACAAGACCATCGTCAAGCGGCGGATGTCCCATGTCAGCGGGGGAGGCTCCATAGACCTCTCGGATACAGACTCTCTGCAGGAGTGGATCAACATGACCGGCTTCCTGTGCGCGCTCGGCGGGGTGTGCCTCCAACACCGCGGCTGCGCCCCGTTTCCTTCCTACAGCCCACCCATGGGCCCCGTGAGCGAGCGGAAAGGCTCCATGATCTCCATGCTGTCGACCGATGGCAACACGGAGACCCCCGTGAGCAAGTTCCTGGACCGCCTGCTGTCTTTAATGGTCTGCACCCACGAAAAAGTGGGCATACAGATCCGGGCGAACGTGAAGGATCTCATGGGCCTTGAGCTGAGCCCGGCCCTTTACCCCATGCTCTTCAACAAACTGAAGAACAACATCAGCAAGTTTTTTGACTCACAAGGGCAGGTAAAATTATTTTGTTTCCGCTGAATTATGCAATACACAAGATTGCTGTCCATGGGGAACTTACAGCTTGGCGACGTACACTTAATTGACATTGTGTGAAAATAAAATGTACTAAAAGCAGTGGTTCTTAACCTCGTGTCCCAATGTGTTCTTGGCCTACAATTCCAGAAATCCTAGCCAACCCAGCGAAGGGTGAAGGCTTCTGGGAGTTTGAGTCCAAGAACACCTGGGGACTTAAGGTTTTGAACCACCGCACTAAAGGGTAAACGTTGGAGGTAGAAGCCACATCCAGAAACTTTGGGCACGTTTATATGACAGGAGAACCAAAGAACCCTGGCTTGTATAAAGTCACCATGTAGAAGGACCATTGCTGCTTAGAGGTGCTTATCCAGTTTTTCTCACCAGTCTATTCTACCTGGAATCATTGGTGGATCCACATTTTGCAATCAGTTCCTTAGCAGAAATGTACAGTTTTTACGATAGATGGCCTCTCTGCCTTTACAATCAAGAAGGTTTACAGTTTTCAGATACTAAATGAAAGAAAGGGGGAGAAATCCAGGAACTTAGCAGAATTCTGTACAGCTGTCTGGGGTCTGTCCAGCAATTCATGGTTTCAAATCATGGATTTTCTCCTCCTGCTCCTCTTCTTCTTTCTTCACCCTTTGATCATGCAGTTCTTGACGTAGCCTTGACGTAACCTTTGTAGAAGAGGAACATTCCGAACCTTGTGGGCCTTTTCTTTTTTTAGTTTGGCTCCATTTTCAGAAGGATTGAGCCAAAAGGCGCCAGAAACAACCAGCTTGAGTGCCTGATATGACTTGATTAAGATTCATGGGGATAAGTAAATAATGCCTTCAGTTGCTTCTCTTGCAATTTGTAAACTCCTCATTAACTTCGACACCGTCCAATGTTTAAGCTGTATGATTCGGGTGTTTTGGGGGTGGGTATCGTCCAGACAGCTTAATGACACCACCGAGCTTCTGCCCAGGTTTTGCTGAACGACACCAACACACAGTTTGTGGAGCAGACCATTGCGATCATGAAGAACCTGCTCGATAACCACACGGAGGGGAGCTCGGAGCACCTCGGACAAGCCAGCATTGAGACCATGATGCTGAATCTGGTCAGGCAAGTCTTCCTCTGGATTGTCCTCTCAGAGATGCAAACATTTCAGGACATCTGCTGAGAAGGGATCTTAGCCAAAGGTTGTAATTGGGACACCTCCCAGTTGCAAAAGCAATTTTAAAAAAAAGCAAAGCGTGCTGCTTATATACCTCCCCATAGAACTTAGAGCACTCTCTGGGTCTAATTATGCAGGCTATACATGGCCCCCCCTCCCTGCCCAGCGAGCTGCGTACTCATTTTACCAACCTCGGAAGGATGGAAGGTGGAGTGAACCTTGAGGCTACCTGGGATTGAACCCAGGTTGTGAGTAGAGTCTGGGCTTCAGTACTGCAGTTTAACCACTGCACCCCACAAAATCCCCCATCTGACATTGCCAGGTTCAACAGGGAGGTATTTTAGGTGCCACTTGTATCTTTGTCAGTTGCAGGGAATATCCGTCTCTGGCCCATCAGATTTTGTAGTCTTTATCTCCAACTTGCCTTGGCAGCGTGGCCATTGGTCACGGAATTCTGGGAGTTGTAGTCCGAATCCCTTGGAAAGCCAAAGGTTGGGATTTTTTTGGGGGGGGGCTTCTTTTATGCTTTTATACGCTTACACGGCCACAGTTAAGGCGGCTTACTTTCAGCATGATCATTTTTGCAAGAAAATAACTTCTAAAATGTTCCTTTCTTGCTTTCGACCGGGGCATCGCTGAGAGGCTCCAACCCTGGATCTCACTTAGGGGTTTCTGCTCCTCCTCTCTCTTCACAGATACGTCCGTGTTCTTGGGAATTTGGTACATGCAATTCAGATAAAAACCAAGCTCTGTCAGCTGGTGAAGGTAATGATGGAGAGGCGAGATGACCTTTCCTTCTGCCAGGAGATGAAATTCAGGTGAGGGCCTGTTGAAGAACTCTGTGTATTTCTTCGCTTTCTTGCGGGGATCGGTTGAACCCTTAACGCAATGTATAGACTGGGATCTTGACAGGGTGTCAGAAATATGTTGTAGCTGGTGTTTTGAGAAGGGATCTGGTCAGTGTTCTTACTTAATTAAGTCAGACTTAATTAGAGCTTTCAAGGTAAGCGAACTATTCCTGGAACGGCTTTCCCAGTTCCTCTCCCTCCGTGAATTTCCATGGACAAGTTGGAGATTCGAACTCTGGTCTCCAGAGTCTTAGTCTGTCGCTGTCTCCACTGTGCCATGCTTGGTCAGCGTGGAAAGGTATTTAATTTGGAATGGAAATGGCTGTTTTTTCCACAAGGCAATAAAGCCTGCAAAGAGTCGATGTAATTTGACACAGAAAAGATTAGAAAAGTGTAAAGGCTACTTGAAACAGACTGGCAGTGGGCTTGTCCGCTTGTTGCTTGTGATGGAAGGGGTCTACTAGAGATACTGTTACTGTAAATGTCTTGCACCATGCAGTGTATTGCACTGGACAAGATCCACGCCCACACTCTATCCCAGATCTAATTCTTAGGCCCAAGGAGAGTAGGAACCCTTGAATCATTGGGATTAATCATGTAAATTTGACGGTATGGAGAGAAAACAAAGGAGTGAAAAGCCATTTAGTCAGGGAAGAAGCTGAGAAGGGAAGAATCTGCGAGGCTTCCTTTGAGGAGGAAGAAAAGGAGATAGGAATACAGGCAAGAGGGGAGACAGCATTTAAAAAACAAAACAGGCCATCATGAGCCCAATTAGCTGAAAGAATCCTTTGTGGCTGGAGCTCTTCAGCAAAGCAGTGATTTTAGATTCTGTCATACGTGTGTGCCTTGGCAAGAGGATGTTGCTGTAACCTTTTTGTGATGTGTGTAATTTCAAAAATATACTGCCCGGTTGTTGTTCCAGTCTGAATTTGACGTGCTCTGAAACCTCTGTCATTCCAGGAACAAGATGGTGGAATACCTGACGGATTGGGTTATGGGGACATCCAACCAGGCGACCGATGAGGACGTGAAATGTTTGACAAGGTAAAAAGCGCTAAAATGCTTTCATTGTACAGTGAGACGCATCGTCCGGTGCAGCAGATAGATAGTTTCAGACGCATACAGGAGAATTGCTAGTCTCAAATCTGCTCTCCCTTATCCATCCCAGGTTATTGATAGAGGGAAAGCTGCCTTCTTAGTGTGATTTACTGGTGTGTTTTCCGAGTTGAATAGATACACCTGTAGGCTATGGGGCTGCCCTCCCAACACCTTTGGCCAGGAGCAGCTGGCAAAGAAGACAGAAAGCCATGGTAGAATTCATGGAGCTGGCTAGCTTGAGGCAGGATGCAGAAATGGGAAATTAGAGAAATGTGCAATAGATGGTGAGCCTTGTGGCACTGTGGTTCTACTCTAGCATTACAGTCCAAACTCTGCTCACGGTCAGGATTTGATCCCAGCAGATTCTGGCAGCCGGCTCAAGGTTCACTCAGCCTTCTGTCCTTCCACGGTCGGTAAAATGAGTACACCCGGCTTATTAGAGGGTGGGCGGTGGTGCAATGCAAAGCCTGCCTAATTCAGTGGCAAACTGTCCAGAGGGTGCTTTAAGCGTTGCCGGGCAGTATATAGGCAGCACACTTTGGCTTGGCTTGGGACGCACCAAGGCAAAAGTGTGGTAAAATCAACTTGCCGCTCAGGTATCACAAACAACACCCAGGAAACTGCTCCGCGTTTCAACAGAACCAAAACCAGTCACAGTTAATGGCTTTGATTGGACCAGCGGGGTCAACCAGTGTGTTCCTAACTTGGTAATGGTTTGGGGTTATAATGTATTTAGGTTTTTTATTTTAACCCACCCCACAGACTTCCTAGGGATAATGAATGTATTTATGTTCATTCTTTGTTGGCAATGAATGTTATGAAACAAATCCATCAGTCCATCAATCTACCTATCTAGAAGTACAAACATTTCCATTAAAAAAAAAGCCTTTGCTTCCCGCATTACCGGTTGGATCTCGCAGGGGGAGGAGAGCGCGAGAGAGGTGGGCTCGTCGGTTCAAACTGTGCTGTGTTTCCTTGTTTCGCTCAGAGATCTGGACCAGGCAAGCATGGAAGCCGTGGTGTCTCTCCTTGCGGGACTTCCACTCCAGCCTGAAGAAGGGGATGGCGTTGAACTGATGGAAGCGAAGTCCCAGTTATTCCTTAAGTACAAGCCTGTTTTGTTTTGTTATGTTAAAAAAAAGCATTCTGCTGGGGAAAGCCGCCAGCATCCAGTCACCCTGAATTCCCAAAGCAAGGGGGATGTTCTCGTTGGGAGAACTTTGGCAGGAGGATAACGTCAGTAGGACTCGGTGCCGGCCTAACTCTTACGAATCATTCGTAAAGAATCGTTGCCCTGAATGAGAGGAAATCCAGAGAACCACACAATGTCCTGATTGGCTAGTCCATGCAGTCGTAGAGGAGGAAGTTCTTAAATTGGGCCTAAATTCTCATTTTCTTTGAATCGCCCCATGGAATGTCCTAGATCTGACAGTAAAGGCAGAGTGTTATGCCTCTGGTGATGCGATCTAGGGAGAAGCTTTTAAAAACACGGCGGACCCTAAGTAGCCATTGGTCAGTGTTCCGTGAAGACACAGGCCAGGGATGTGTCGTTCCAGTCAAAACAAGATCAGCAGACAGGGGCTAGTAAGGAAAGCATCGTGGTTCAATCCCTGTGAAGCGTTTGACACCCACACCGACGCACCAGGTTATATCCCCAATGGCTTTCCACAAAGCACTTAAGTGAAATAGAAATGCATGCTGGCTTACAGTAGAACAGGAAAGTAAGGATACAGTGAAATGAAAATAAAATAGAAAAACAGCCTCAGAGAGCACAGAGAGGTGCCAGGGAGGCCAGCTTGGAAAGGGAATCGTGCAGGCAGAGCAAAGTAAATAGATGTATTATAGCTTTTCTGAGAAGACTGGACTATTTCATGCAACTCCGGACAGGTGTTTGTATTAAAAATGCTTCTTCTGGAGATATAGAGGTCATTATGGTTGACATGAAGCTGGGAGTCAGTGAGGATAATGATTTAGTTCCTTTGCACTTCCGTGAAAGACGAAGAACATGGAGTTGAAGCTCTTTTGGAGAAGTCGCTTCCTAGTCTGTCTCCCCCCCCCCCCACTTTATTTCCATGGCTTTAGCTCATGTCTCGCTGTCAGATTCTGTCTGCTTGCGTTTTTTGCCTTTTCCTCAGCTTTGGCTTTTCAGCCTCCTCGCCTTTGTTGCCTGGGTTTGTTATGGTCGCAAGAGAGTTTGGGAGCCAGGAAGCTAGTAACCCTCTTGACAAACTTTTTTTTTTCCGAAGGGGTTGGTGGGATTTCTAGGCAGTGGAGAGGAAGTGACCCATTCTTCTAGAAACCTGTGATACTTTATTTCAAAATGGATTTTCGCATCCGTGCATTCTGATGCTACTTTTTTTTTTGGCTTGCAGGTACTTCACCCTGTTTATGAACCTCCTCAACGACTGCAGCGAAGTGGAAGACGAAAACGCACAGCCGGGCAGCCGGAAGCGCGGGATGTCCCGAAGGCCGGCTTTCTTGCGACACTGCACCGTTCTGGCCATGTCCAACTTGCTCAATGCCAACGTGGACAGCGGCCTGATGCACTCTATAGGTAAAACCGAGCGGTGGGCTTGGCCTTTCTCTACGGCGAGGGTTGGGGTGGGGAACCCGATGACTCACGGACCGATTTGCCTAATTTTTTTTTCTTTCTCCCCTTGGTTGGTTGGTTTGTTTGTTGCCAGGGCTGGGGTATCACAAAGATCTTCAGACGAGAGCCACGTTTATGGAGGTCCTCACCAAGATCCTGCAGCAGGGCACGGAGTTTGACACCCTGGCGGAGACGGTGCTGGCGGATCGGTTCGAGAGGCTGGTGGAGCTGGTCACCATGATGGGGGACCAAGGGGAGCTGCCGATCGCCATGGCTCTGGCCAACGTGGTGCCTTGCTCCCAGTGGGTAAGACGAGCCCCTTCGGCGGTTTGCCCCTATAAGGCTCTTGCAAGAACCGTCTAGCTAGGAACTGGGCATCGGTCGCCTGTGTGTGTGTTTTCTTCCCTTCCTGGTTGACTGGGATCAACTTGGGAAGCTCTTTTATGCCGAATCTGTAAAGCCCAGCCTTGGGAAACTCTTTGAGTGACAGGACATGTCCGGAGCTTCAAAGGAGACTCTTTTCTATCCCGAAGGGGAGGCTCCGCTTGTTCCCTCCGACTCTTTCCCTCTGTGTTCTAATCCGGGGGTTCTCAAACGGGTCCCCAGATGTTCATGGACTGCAACTCCCAGAAATCCTCGCCAGCACAGCAGGTGGTGGAGACCTCTGGGAATTGCAGTCCAAGATCATCGGAGGCCCCTGGTTTGAGAACCACTGTTCTAATCAACCCCATCCTTCCAGAAATCACAATAAGTAAGGTGTGTTCCGGGTGGCAGGATAGTAATGCAGGGAGCATTCTTTCCCAAGTTGTTCTGGGAATTTTTGTTTTGTTTTACTTCTTCTTCAGTGGCATCTTAGAACTGCAGAGCTGGATGGGACCCTATAGATCATCAAGTCCAGCTCCCAATCAAAGAGGCCCAGTGTGGGAATCAAACTCCCAACTTCTGGCTCTGTAGCCATAGACCTAAACCATTAGCTATCCAGGGCTTAAACTCAATAAGCCAATAGCATTGGATGGAATTCCGGACATAATATAATTTTCCTGTAATTAGCCACTGCTATTTCTGGAAGGACCAGTTACATTTGATTTTTTTTATTAATATAGTTGCTGTCTGGCTTTGTCTGACACTGTAATATAAGCTCTTTTTCATATTACATTTTTAAAATAAATGCAAACTAACCTTTTTTTTTGAAAAAAGTTTTATCCATGAGAGTGTGGTTATCTCTTCCCCATCAAATCCGGCTTCTGCCTTGGCTTGTCATAGGTGACGCATACAACCCTGTGATGGGTGTTGTGAGTGACTTTCATTGTTAACTGTGATTTTTTTTTCAAAGGATGAACTGGCTCGTGTCCTCGTCACCCTGTTCGACTCAAGGCACTTGCTCTACCAGCTGCTCTGGAACATGTTTTCTAAAGAAGTCGAACTGGCCGACTCCATGCAGACGCTCTTCAGGGGAAATAGTCTGGCGAGCAAGATCATGACTTTTTGCTTTAAGGTAA